TTTAAACACAAACCCATATGCGAGTGTATTTCCTCCTCGTTGTTGTTTTTTTTGTTTTTGCCTTGTGATAACATTCAGGGTTTTGGTTTCAGTCTACCATTAGGTAGATGAAGGTACTAGAGCAGACTATGAGTGTGGGTGTTTGGTGGTATTGGCAATGAGTGGTGAGGTGGGGGTTGCAGAGTCAAACTGATACCCTGCATATATGTTGTGACTTGTGTAAAAAGAAGCAGAGAGTGCGCTAAACACCAGCATGCGTAGCAATCCAGCAAACAATCCAGTTCCTCTTTGACACCATAATGAAAAAATGAGACGGCGGACGCAAGAAACAGCTGTAAAATGAACGGCTTGCAAAACCTTTCACCTTCTGCTTAACAAAATGCCACACTCTGATATCACATAGCACATCACATTTGACCATCCTATAAGTGTACTTTCCCTTTGCATCTTCTTTTTAAAAAACGCAGGTGTCAAAACTAAACATCTGACTGGGTGCTGCATGTCAAAGCGGATTTTTTTAATAGCAGCTGACAAACATACAGAAGACACTATAATAAAACTCTGTGAAAGAGAAGCTACTTCCTCTGGTGGGGAGAAGCGCGGTGTTGGTTTGTGATACGTTTGTCTACAATAGCGGGGCCTTTTACACCATGTGCTAATCACTGATATCTGTTTCAGATATTAAAATCCTCGAGTTCTTTTCACTCACTTCATGTGCTACTTCGCCCAAACACCCGCATTTCCCCTCTCGATCATTGGAACGGTACAGTTTCGTTACACACGGTTTTCACTTGATTTCATTAAAAAAAAAAAAAAAAGGTCGACAATAAAATTTTTTAAAAGAAACAACAACAAGAGGAATCCCTGATGACTTTTTAATGCCAGCTCTAACTGCAGTGAGCACTGCTGATTAAATTTCATTCATCTCCATTGTCTCAGACAGGAGACATAAATCTTGGAAATAGGACTTCAAAACCTGCGTACCTGCATTTCTGGGTCTTGCTTTTGTTGTTTTAGCTTAAACTAACCTTCAGGTAAACAGAGTGGGAGAAACCAGACTGTAAAAATACTCCCGCATTCGACATTTTACGATGTAAAAGACGTCAATGGCATCTTTTTAGAAATTCTTGCAAATGTATTCAAATTACAGCTTTCAGTCCTCAGGGTAAGTCTCTCCAGGCTCTTCCTGGGAGACCTCTGCAAGCAGAGTGAGCTGCATCCACAAACCGGCATCTTCACCTTTCTCTGCAGCTGTTCAGCAGGTTTAGATCTGAGCTTAGCTCGACCAACCAAGGACAGAGACAGATGCCTGTATTCGCATTCTTTATTGCCACTACTGAGCAGGTATACTCAGCTCTCAACATAATGTGGTGTAATAAATCTTCTGACTTTCTTATTTTATTTTAAGAGGCCTTGCTTAAATCAAATAAAATGCTCTTACTTGTCCATTATATTCCATTCAGCTTCATGCTAGTCAAAGTCTTTGTGGTTCCACAGACCTGCATGCTACACAAACATACGTCATTATGCCACAAACTAAAGAAAAAGGGGTATTTCCACTAGTTTGTAAGACATACAGATCGTCGCCTTGCTGAAAGGTGTGGCCCAGTCTCATGGTGTTTCTCCACTGACCCCTATGCATTTGGCTACGTTCACTCTTCCCTCAATTCTGTTTCCCTGTTCCTGCCTCTGAAAATAAACCACCGCGCTTCACCGATGGGATGAGATTAGCCATGCTATGAGCAATGCATGGTATTTGCCAGATATGGTGGTTGGAGTTCTTTCCCAAAAGTTACTTTTGCTTTTTTTTTTCTCTCTGCCTTTTTTTCTCAGACTACTGAATTTTCTTTGTCTACGTGACAGACGAGTAAAAGCAAAGATGCGTAGGCATCTAAAAATACATGCAGCAAAATAAATACCAAATGTGACAGACTGCAAGCTCCTTTGACGACTGAGCACTCTGTAAACTTTATGTGCAAAATGTCTCCTCTTCGAGATTAAGTTAAGAATGTTAATCTGAGAATCAGTGGATATAATGTAGTCAAACTGCAAGCACCTGAAAAAACGAAGTCACACTTCATTGAGTACGGTCACCTTTACTTTTGATAAATGGAGATCTGCTGTGTGTTCACTCGGAACAATTAAAGGAAGCAAATAAAACCACATTCATTGCATTCTTACAGAATCACAATAACATCACCCTCCACCACCATCGTCACTCTCACAAACATCTAAAATCTGAAGGACACACCCTTTCCTGAACAGTGGACTGTAGATAAGCTGCTCCCAGCGGGAAAACTCACTGTAGCAACACACACACACATACATGCACACGGTGTTTCGTATTCTTACACCAATTCTGCACCAATCTTAGACTGCCTCCACCCTTCTTCTCCCTCATCTCTCTTTCTTTACCTTCCTTGCACTTCACCTTTCTCTCTCTCTCTCTCTCTCCCCCCCCCACTGACTCTCTCACCCATGGGCAGGAAACTCCACAGGATGCAGAGTGTGAGTGGGGCAGGAATGATAGGACAATGGGAAACAAGCTGTCACTGAACCCTCACACATACACACACAATAGCACACACACACTCTTAAACACAGGGAGACAGAGCTGGAAGGCAGCAGTGGAAAAGTAAGGTGCCTCGGTTATCGGGATGTCCTGTTTCCACATGATGTCATCATATCCTCCAGATACAGAGGCCCCGAGCTGGCTCGGCTGGAGGCATATATGAGCGTTTGCGTGCACTGAGGCTGAAGACTTTCAGCCTGCTTCTTAAGAAATAGAGCATCACTGTCTGGTCCTTTGGGTTCATCATGAAGACTCTCCCTCGGATGACGGCATGGATGAAAACGTACAGAAACTTGTCAACTCGACCACACCGCTGCAGGGGTGCAGGGGTGTGTGACTATCAGGCTGCAGGCCTCATCTTGTATGAGTATTCACCTGTCACGGCCCTTCTCCGGTCCTTAAGAAGAAAGCTGTGCGATGTGACTATGTCTTTTTCTAAACTTCTCACTAAAAAGCGTATCCACGCCCCTTTCCTTCCTGCCTTGCTCCAAGGCTAAAGACAGGAACTGACCTGGTAAAGAAACAGGAAGTGATGAAGTCCAGCCTTGGACAGCCTAATCCTGTTTCTCCCTGTCCAGCCCCTAAAAAATTTCTGGCCAACTCCCTTGCGGATATTTCAACGTTTTAATTTGTAATCTGTTACCTATCTGTAGCTTCCCGATCAGTGATTGGGGTGAAAAAAAAAAAGGCGTATACCTCCTACAATGAGGCTATGATAAAGCCACAGAAACCTCTTATACCTTTTCCTCAAGGTGGTTTCCTGTAGGCATGTGGCCAATTAGTCACATTTAGTGAAGGAATGTTTAACAGTCTCTTCTGGGTTTAGGCCTAGATGATGAACCCTATCCAGGCACGTTTTACCATAAATCCAGAGCCTGTATGATTTATTAAGCCGTTATTAAAGAAAAAGAAGAAGCTAAAAGGGCAATAACTAAGGTCTTATGCTGGAAATGATCCATTTGAGAGGACCAACTTCTCTGGTAAATTCCGCTGTTGCAAAAAAAGAAAGAAAAATTGCACTATTAGCAAGTCTGATTTCTAAATATCACCCTCTGTGACATCTGTCTATCATGAAGAGTGGAAGTAGGCTACTGGTAAACCCACACTTGATTAACTTCTCATAGCAAGTAGACAAACTTCCTTTTATTTCAAACAGATACCGACATTTCTCAATTTTCACCAGAAGCTCAAAATCAACGACAGCGCCCTGTGGGATTAGAAAAGTGGAAAATATTCTACTTATTTAGGCATTCAGCTCGCATCCTTTTAAGTCGTTACAGCTGAACTTTGTCTCGAGTCAAGCGATTTACTCACAAATAGGGCTGAAGTTTAAATAGGACGCACAGCCCACCTGTTGAATGACCCCACAATTTGGTAGTAAAGCACCTGTTTGGTTTATTTATTTTCATTTTTTTGTTCGCTTTTTGTTTTGTTTTTTAGTCTCAAACACAGTAAACCAGATGTGTTACACCGCTCTGATATTTATTTTGGAACAGAGAGCAGAAACTTACCTGACAAAAAGAAATCACTCCGGACAATCCTCGAGTCGGGACGCTCGGGGACGGAGGTGGGTGAAGCGAGAGCGCTGTCCGTGGGAGACTCGAAGGGGACACACGGGAGTGAAAGAGCCGCGCGCTGCTGCTGCCTGAGAGCGAGAGGATAAGGCAAGCGCGCGCCTCGGCCGGAAGGCTCGGGGAATGAACTTCACGCGCACAGCGAGGTCCACCCCACATAGGAAGAGAGTGCGTGCAGCGGACAGTTCAACAGTGTCGTTACGCTTAACAGAAACGATACATAGGAGCGTGTTCTCGGTAACTATGGCGTCAGACTGAGCTTACGGTCACGAGCTCAGCTTGGTTAAAACGTTAAAGGAATGCGCGCGCAATTGAGTTCACGATAAAGCAAACCGATAAGAAAGTTTTAAGTTTTTTGTTTTGTAATCTCGAAAGAATGCGATAAAAAAAAAAAAAGCGATTATAAAACGCTCCGGTTCTTCAACAGTGTATCCTACACACAGCTGGGGGAGTGTTTGCAGTCTCTTCGTGCGAACGATGCGCAGATGAGGTGGTGAGCTACACGTTTAGCAAACTCGTGTGAACGACAGGAAGACTGAATAAGATGTGTGACATCCGCGTGCAAGAAGGCAGAAGTGCAGCAGATGCTTTCGGGAGTGCGGCGGCTCACTGTGCCGGCACCTTTCTGTCTGTGATCTGCATATTTCAACAGAAATCGGACAGATGTTATTGGCACATCGTTATAATTAGAGTTGCACAAGAAAAACTTACCTTCAAAAAGTTTTTTTAAGCCTTTGTCGCCATCTTGCGGTTTGTTAATGTAACTTAATTAGCCCAAACTGCCCATATCCATTATAAGAAGGAAAGACTCAAAAAAGCAAAAAAAAAAACAAAACACAACACACACAACACTGTTGATTTTGATAACAAAGTAACTTTTATTGTATATAAAAATACAAGCTGTTTGTCTCATCTCAGCCTCAGTGTGCAACAGACAGAGAGGACTGAGTCATCAGTAGTACTGGTGTGATCAATGGCGTTTGTCTGACAAGCAAACATTCAGCAATGAAAACAATCTGAATCACCACACTGATTTTGATATGCCAGACCCAATTGCACCACTGCACATGGCGTCTGTGTGACAAGAATGTGTGCAAGACAGCACCACTTGAGGTTCAAGTGTGAAATTAAAACCTAATGATAGACTTCAGTGCAAAAAAGAAGAAAAGGAACAAAATAAAGACAAAATGGTAACGCAATTTAAATACATGACATTCCAGGCGCAAAGCAGCATCAAAACATTAACACTGAAACATACGATATGAATGAGCAAACATTCACTGTAGTGTGTGTGTGTGTGTGTGTGTACAAGGATTGGACTGTGGTGTAAATCACAGCTGGCTCAGCATCTGCAAAAATGTGTGCAAGTGAAGCGAGGCTGTCATCTCATGTAGTGTGTAATAGCTCGTAAGATGTAGAGAAGTGCCGCCTGTAGCCGGGCTTCCATCACTATTAGGTTGGCATGAACCTGCACCCAAAAAAAGAAGAAAAAAAAATATGAAAAGAAACATGTCATTTCCTTCAGTTCACAAGGTGACACGCTGTAACACTTCCTTCTCTGATGACATTTAAAAAAGGAAGGAAGCACTAAAATGCCAAATGATACATTAGTTGATTCTGAGGGTACCAAAGAGAGATGACGTGTTAAAATGTCAAATGATACGTGACAGAGGAGGCCAGGTTAAGTGCCTGTTTGAACTTGTCATACCTTTTCAGAGTGTCTGAAGTGTCTCCAGAAGGAGTGGTAAATGCGTGCTGTGGTCTGCTCGGGGTGACAGGCCATGGTTTTTACAAACACCTTCAGAGAGCGTTCCAGCAACACGTTCACACTGCCGTAGTCGTAATCATCGTATCTGGACATGCGAAGTGACATAAATGTTAATGCTACAGTAGAGAAATGTTAAAGGTGGCTGAACTTTTGCATGGGTGGCACCTTTACACCCACCGTATTCCATAAAGACAGTGGATGTAGTTCCACAGAGCTTTTCTTAGAGTGTGAGTATCCACGCCTTCATGCATGGCCATCCTGTGGTAGGTCAAGTTGCACACAATCTGCAAATTCACATTAGTGTTTGCTCAGTTCACTTTTTTATAACTTTATAGAAGATCACCTCCTGTAGACCATTATACAGAATACAGATTTAAACACTTTCAAAAGTGGCTTCACTTTTCAGACCTCCATCCTTTATATACAGTCTAACCAAACCAGGTGATGCTTGTAAAATTCACAAAAGAAAAATGAGCTGGGATTGGTGTCAGTCATTTGTTTATTTACCGAATGATCTGGAATAAGTGCAAATAAAAAGAAGCCAGGAAAACCCTTTTCTACAATACACATGTATTCACCACCCACTTCTTTTTCCTGACACTAAGCAGTTTTATTTCAAGTGTATAAACAAACAAGGAGGTCAACAATATCTCCTCCCATTCTTAGTCTCAGCTAGGTGAAGTAGTGTAACATGCACTTCAACAGATAGACCTTTCACATCACCCACACAGCAGCCTTTGGTGATGGTACCTGAAAGTTTTCATCCAATAGCTGGCCCATGTCTGGCAGGAGCCTGTTAAGCAGAGAGAATCCATGGTCCTCCCATGAATAGTCCTACACATGAGACACAACCATTAACAACGTTACCATCTACAACACAAGGCACAAAAAAATCAAGGAGTGTTGCTCACTATAATAAGTTTGACAAAGATTAAAAAAAAAAAAAGGAAAAATATGCCTTAAACTACCTGTGCTCGCATGGTGGGTGGTGCCTGCTCTCCTCTGGGAGCAAAGTCCTCATATCTGAATTCTGGTTCCTCCACAAGACGCAACACCAGGTCAGGTGGAGCGCCCCTCACCACCGCTAAACCAACAACAGAGAGGAAGTGGTGAGTCAACAGGTGACTGAGAGTGATGCAGGGGTAAGCAGTCAGATCTGTACCCGTAGGTATGCTTTCGCTCCTCTCCCTTTCAAAGCGAGTAACCATCTCCTCCTGTGTGCACTCCTCCTCCTCCTGCTGCTGCTGCAGCTCCACCATCCTCTTCATCAGCACCTCCACCTCCACGGCTCCATCAGCCAGCTGGAGAAGATCAGATAAATGAAGTCGGCGCTTTGTTGTTTCAGTGTGTGTTCGCAGTTTTCTTTCCTAAGTGAGTGGGTATCTTTTGGCTGTTACTAAACTTTAAATCAACTACCTCCACCCTCCTGTCATTTTAAGCCTGTTAGGCCTGAGACCAGAACATCTGTTTGACTCACCTCGTGCCTGCCGTCCTCGTGAGCGGGGCTGTGTGCGGGGCTGTGAGGACTGTGAGAAAGTGATGGAGGCTGAAAGGTGTAGCCCCCAATGTGGTCAGGTTCTGGGTTTAAACCACAGCCCCAAACGAACGAGCACAACGAGTGAGCGTGCGCCATGAGCACCACGGCGTGTATCAGTTCAGCCAGTGACCAGCGAGGCTCTGCTCCAGGGCACACCAGTTCCTGCGGGACAGATAGGCAGATGTTGGGCTCATGCAGTTTCAGATTGTGTGTTTGCTGGAAATTAATGCCAGGCTGTGGACCAGTTTGCTGGGGGTGTTACCGGTTTGGCATTTGTTGGTGGTTTGATTTGCCTGTCTGCACTAAAGATAAGCCGCATTATCTAATTTAGCAATTTCCCTTAACTGCAATTTTAGACGGTAGAAAATTCTACTGGAAGCACTTTGATACACTTAAACTTTAAGAAGATATCAGTGTTATGTTTGATCCTGTTAGATGGTTCTCAAGTTAATCTTTTAAAAGCAGTTGCAGATACTTTTGTGCATGCCAACAATGTGGTACCTTGTACAGAGAAACAACACACGAAGGCTTCATTTAGGGTTTGCTCAAACTAGTCACCCAGTGCTTGTCTGACTCAGGTGATCAGCGTGATCAGCGTGCACAGTTAAGCACACTCAAGTGCTATCTCCGTTGAGATACACATCTGGGGTGACTGTGACAAAGAAGGGAACCCCCCCCCCCCAAAAAAAAAAAGATATCACACTAATATTGTCATTGTCAAATCTTTGACTATGATAATGAAAATCAGACATTTCACTCTCACAGTCCTAGGTATCAGATTTAAAGAGGCGGAACTACACCTGTCTGTGCTGATGCAAAATGATAGGCTCTGCTACTCTTTATATGGAAGACAATTAGGTGTTTACCACACAGGAAATAGCGGCTGAGTCACTGAGGGCGTGAGTTTGGATTCAAGTCAGAAATTAGAGTTGGAGTAAGACACAGGGAGTGAGTGGGCGAGCGGGAGATGTGTCTGACCTGGATGTGCTGCTGCGTAATGAGCCAGGGTCTGTGTGCCAGCAGCTTGTTGAGTGTTTGCAGGCTGCGGAGTTTGGCGGGAGCATGCTCCAGGCCGCTTAGCCAGCTCTCCTCCCCTCCGGCCTCCAAGTAGCCTGCGCTGTGCTGCTGCACCAGGTATGAGCAGTGGTGCCGAGCTGCAGCCTGCCAGACGCAAAGAACGGTCCAAGTTAACAGCCGGGAAGAGAAACTCTAACCCTGACCACTGAAAACAACGCTTCACACATTCTCTGTTCACATATCTGTGTGCAACAAATCCATAATGCAGAGAAAGTGTCAGAGGTTAAAACAACACAGCTGAACTTGCACAGGTGGGTGCAGTGAGTGGTATTTCTAAAGTGTTACGGACTGTTAATGTGAAGCAATACTGAAGACACATAGATCGCATTAGCAGAAAGGCACTAACAGTCTTTGGATGTCTTACCGTTTTGCTATGAAACAATTTCTGAATGTCCCTGAAGGTTTCATTGCCATTACTGTTCAGTGACCATTACCAAAACGTGTGTTATTTGCCAACTGAATGCAGATGTTTAAGCATTAAGAATGCGACCTTCTAAATACTCTATTATACAAATATATGATCACATCTCAAATTTGAGTTCAGTCAGTATAGCAAAAATCTGTATAAACATTTTTCAAATTGAAAAAACATAAGTCCAAGGCACAGCATCATAATATTACAGTATTAACATCTAACTGAAGCTACATTCCCAGGTTATACTACAAAATGTCTTAACATTAATTCAAAATTCTATAAACAAGCATACTTTCTCTCTCTCGCAATATTATAATAATGCATTTCCGTCAGTAATAAAGGCAACTGCAATTTAATACAACTGCAATTCACAACAACAGCTGCTCCAAAGTGCTTTATTTTACAATATAAAGATCTGCACTCAGCAACAGTGGAGGAAAAAAAGAACTTCCTTTTAACAGGAAGAAATCTCATCTAGCACCCAGCTAAGAGCAGGGGAGCAATCTACCATGACCAGCTGGGACAAAAGTTGGTGAGATTGCATTAGGAGTGAAAAGAGGAGAGTGGGAAATGAAGTCCAGAGCAGCCTGAGCCTACAGCTGCATTAATAAGGAAGCTTCAGGGTCATGTAATCCAGCCATAACTATTCATAGTTTTTAGTCAACAACTAGCCAACACGCTACCCTTGCCATCACAACCAATAAGAGACAGTTAGTAGTACTGCAGGACAAGATAAGACCACTTTGATTATCCATCCATGGCGGAAAAACTAAGATATAAAGAGAACTGTGAATTTTGGGGACTTGAGATGCATATTCTGCCTCTGCAGCTTTTTCAAAAAGTCCCTGATAGTGGTGACGTCTCTCCCAGTGCTCCAGTTTTGTGACATCTACCTATATCTTGTAAAGAATCCCTCAGCTTGCACTGCTACCAGGATGAAAGCTTTCAAAGTACGGACTGGAGGACAATGGACCAGAGTTCTGTTTTGCCCTCCAGGCAGCTGTGTCCCAGTAGCTCTGACATCAGGTGAAAACTACAAATAAGTTTTATCAAAAAAGAAAGTTTCAGACTAATCTTAAAAGAAGAGAGGGGGTCTGTCTCCAGGATCCAAACTGGGAGCTGGTGTTAGGGAGGAGCCCCATATCTTTATTCTACTTTTAGAATTTCTAAAAGTAGAACTAGGAGTCACAAGTAAGCCCGTAGTCTGGCAGAACAGTGCTCTGTTGAGATAACATGACACCAGAAGGGCTTCAAATATGATGGAGTTCGATTAATCCAGATTTTATGGTGAGGAGAAGAAGTTTAAATTCAGTTCTGGAGTTAACATGGAGCCAGTTAGAAGCTAATATGAGAAAACCATATTCACAACACTCTGATCATAGGCAAGACAAGCATCAAAAATACGTAAATACATAACAATGAAAAACACTGGAAAATACTGGCAACAGCCGGTGCTACCCCTCAGTGTCCTAGCAGACACACCTATGGTATCAATTTCAAAATCCTATGTCGCCTTATTCTCAAGTTGTTAAGTCATTCACAAGATTTTCAGAAAACCTGACCTCTCACCTTGAGGTCAAAGTCACTGAGAGCCGAACTCCTCAGAGATTGTTAATAGAAGCACGTATGGTATCAACTTCAAAATCCTTGGGGTCTTCCTTCTCAAGTTTTCACATTCACAAGACTTTCAGGAAACCTGAGCTCCGACCTTGACCTCGAGGTCACAGATTCAAACTCTTCAGCGATGTTTAGACACACCTATGGTATCAATTTGAAACTCCTTCGTAGCTTCGTTCTTAACGTTTACAATCTTGGGTGTCCACATAGCTGCCCGTTCAGTGGGGTGACGACAATACCCCATCAGCCTTTTATGACTGAGGGGTGAAAAGCAAAAAAGCAGGAATTATGTGATAATCCACTGTAATCTGGTATTTTGCCTTAGTTAACGTTCTCATTTGTTTTTCTTTTCCCTACACATTACTACGTGTCACGACAAGAAGCCATGAAGCAGGAATTCTGGAAAGTCAAACATGTGGTGGTTTAGAACTGTTTAGAACGCCTGCAGCATTTAATAACAATGTCAGTATTTAGCACCAGTTTATTGCTGTAGCAGGAGGAAGCAATACAGTTTTTATTGCTGCGTTTATATTTCATTCTATCCCTACTGAAAACGGACCATTAACATCAGTGCTTGCTATTGTAATCCTCTAAGTGAGACTTCTAAGGTCCCGGAGAGAAGACAGAGGACAACAAAGGACCTGAGCCTTCTACCTGCACACACAGTCATTGCCGTCAGACAACACATAAGTGTGTTTCCATAGCATTCGCACTCAAATGCTCAGAACTCGTACCAAACATCACACATGAAGTCCACCAATATTACCCACTGCTCCAACTAGTACATCAGGCCAATTAAAGGTTCTGGTGTTCTCACACACACACACACACACACACACACGCACACACACACGCACACACACACGCACACACACACACACACACACACTACTCTACTCTAAGATTTTGTTTGAACAGTAGAAAAGATTAAATGGAGACCAAAGAACTATAATCATTTTGTATCAATGACAAAACGATTTAACCTCAAGTGTCAGAACTACTACGATGGGAAAAAATCTAAAATAACAATCTCGTCTGTTTGAGAGTGAGAATTTACTTTGATGTTCACAATTGTTAATTCTTTATTTGGTTCATCGTGCATGCACATGGCTGCAGTACACACTACATATGATTTCTTTTTAAGGAACTACATATACTATTTCACATTTCTCCTACAAAAGACCTTAAAGGAGGCTGAATAGTGTTTTAAAAACAGTCCAAATTATGATGAAACCCCGTTCGAAGCAATTTGTCAGCTTTCTGCTGAAAAGTAATTAAAGTTGGAGGCTAAAAAACATTTTTCTTACCATGACAGCAATGTAGTGTCTCCAGTGACGGGGCAAGGGGCCGTCCATCTCCAACAAAGCATGCTGGGTCTTTAGGAAGCAGCAGAGGTAGGCTGGGTGCATCGCCATGACCATAGAGATGTGATCCACACGCCCCAGCGAAAGAAAAGACTCAATCAGGACATCCTGGTTTGGCCCTCCTTTTAAAATCTAAAGAGGAAAAAAAAACAAAACATAACTGAATCCTGAGTAAACTTAATTAAGGTTTCTTCTTCTTTATGAAAAAGAAATCTGAATGAGTCACATTATGAGCTAAGACATTATCAGCCACTAGCTTTGGCAACTCAGCTCGGGTGTTGCATCTGTTGAATGCAACAGGCAGTGTAGTATTGCAGCAGAATAAATAGCATCATTTCAATGAGCAAGTCTGTTAAGTCATTACATATGTCCGTTTCTAAAACGGAAAATAATTTAAAAATAAACTTACATAAAAAAACCCTGTGGGAAAAAAATGTAGGCCAATGGAGATTCAAATATATTTTTAAGTTTAGAACATTTCAATTATATTTATATGAAAAGCTTAAGTTCAAAGTAACAGCTGTTAGTTCATTATGTTAGCAACCTGAAACAAGCCCTGTAAAAATCACAGGATTAGACATGAAGGCCAGCTGTGTGCCACTCTGACATCAACCTGAGGGGGAAAAAAAACAATCTGGCATCTAGACAGGGTGCAAGTCTGACACACAAACAATGGAAATAGCAAAAACATACTTGTAGTAATCCGGAAACTCATTCTTTTTTATTAAGTTGCATACACACCTCTTTTGCAGGGATAAAGGCACTTGGACCTGAGGCCAGAGCCCGAGGTACCTGGACTCCTTGCTCCTGGCAACAAAAGAAGACACAAACAACACGTAATTATCATTCAGTTTGTACTTGATTATTGCTCTGGTTTATCAAAATTTCAGTCAAGATTCCAATCAACCCTAAAGGATTCATCTTGTCTACGGAAATCAACCTCAAACGCAGCTCATTTCTGTGACTGACACGCGAAAAATACCTTTTCAGACTTTTTCCATGCACAAAAAAAGTTTACCATTGTAAATATTCACATTTATCCAAATCGCTGATATGCTTATATGAAATATGTTCAGCTTAACAACGCCTCAGCCTCCTTTAGCTTGCCTAGACCTTCTTTGAACCGTAACAGGACACCCGTTTCGTAACTAGCACGCTTCAAAGTTCCACGTTTAACCAAAACACGCGTTAAAACTCACTGACATCGGAAGCTCGGACGCTAAACGTTACCCTGTTTGTTATTTTCAGCACAAACACAAAAGAAAGGCGTCTAAAGCAGCCTGCCTTTTTAATTTCTAGAAGCTACACTGGGCCGTGTCTGCTGGTGGCGTGTTTTTCAGGCAGCGGGAGGGGGCGTGTCCGGCCCGGTTGTTTGTGCACACCGCTTCAGAGTCTTGCATCACCTACAGTCTGATGAAACCAGCAGCAGTCCGGTAGCAATAAAAATCACCATCAGCTGATGAGAGAGGTGAACCTACCCTTACCTAACCTTATAACGTCATCATGCAAAGCAAAAGCAGTCCTCCTGAGAGTACCTAAAAGTCATTTAATGGTACAAAAGGTGCCCGAGCGCTATTGGAGTAAGATTTTTTCCCCCCTTATCTGTCAGTTAATGCGGCCTGCAAACCTCACAGAAGAAGGGGAAGCCTGTCGGTGAATTGTGCATGCATTACCTGTGCGGTCCGCAGGAGCTCGACGGCTCTCTCCCGTACTTCCTGCAGCGGACACGACCTGGACAGCCGGAGCAGATGCAGAAGAGTTTGTTTACGCAGTCGCTCCGAGCCGTGCCGCTCCAGGTCTAAACACTGGAGAACCCCTTGGCTTAACTCCTCCAGAGCCGCTCTCCGCTCCCCGTCATCCCTGCTGCACAATCGCGCTAAGCTCTTCGAAGTCGGTCCAGCATCAGATTCAGACTCGGACCGGTGGCCACACGAACGCCGAGCGGCGGGCACTCCTCCCGGCTTGCTGTCTCCATTAGCCTGGCAGGTAGCCGCGGGATTACTGGCCATGTCCCGGAGCACCTTTGTAGAGTTGAGCTGCCTGTCGTTACCGAGCAGCAGTTAGCCTAAAGTATTAATTTAACGCTAACCCTTAACGTTAGCTGAAAACATGTATTCTTCTTCACTGACACAACCTCGAGGTATCTGCCGCCGGTCTTCTTATTTTTACTGCGCAATCGTCTGCTTCGCAAATTATTAACACCGACGAACCACCTTCAGAAAGCGCCACCTTTTTTTCCCACCCGGCTTCCGGACCGTGAACGCCGGCTGCCGGCGGTTAGCTCGCTACGCTAGCAGATGCTGCAGACTCTTTCAGCCGCAGCTATGACGATTTCCGGTAATGAAAACAACGCGAGCCGCTGATTTATATTTGGACTGGGCATCGTGGACATAATGCCGAGTTAAACTTAAAACTATCTTGCGTAAGGCACCGGGAATAATGTAGAGTTTTCACACGCTCCTTCCGCTCAGATCTTGGCGAGCTTCCCCCGTGCAACGTCATCGTGACGTATGCGCAACTTTCCTGTGATAAACAGCAGGCGGCTGTTGTCTCTTTAAATGTTACTAACAGTAACAGTGTATCCATAAGTTGCTGTTTTCTCTTTTCTTTACAAAGTGAGCATGTGTTCATTTCAGGCGTTTTTTTTTTAGAATTTTATTCCTAATGCCTTTGCTCATACTGATGTTGCACTGAAGCACCGCAGCAATTTCCTAATGTTGTAAACCTGCTCAACATCTGGCAATAAACCCTTTCTGATTTCTGATTTCATACTGATAAACAGGTTTTAGTCAAGATGATACATGAAGGGATTTATATAAAATAAAGAAATCACCTGTTTTGAAAGTATTCTTATGACTCTGCTTTATTGTACCCACTCTGTGTTCTACACTGTAATCACTCCAGTCTTTTTTTTGGACATATAGTATATCTGTAGAACTATTATATTATACTTTTCTGCAATTTCTGCTGCGATCTTGGCTAGATCTCTCTTGAAAAAGACATTGATCCCAATTAGTCTTTTTACCTGGATAGTATTTTGTGTTTACTAATTATGCAAGCTGTAAACTTACACATTCCCCATCAATTACCAAAGCCTTGAGCAAGATCATAAAATTACTGATATTACAAAAATGACAAAGCTTAAGTTTAATATTTAATGTGAAACAGACACCAGTCAGGGTTAATATGTATGATGATGATATAATTACTTTTATCATTTAGTCAAAATCACTGAAATTAAATGGTAGATTAGCTGATGTCATTCTGTTACCTTCACAACTGCAGCAATCCTTTAATTATACAAGAACCCAGCACTTTACCGCAAACATCTCGGACTTTGTCTTGGACATTGCCACCTGGGAAGTACCTAAAATGTCTGTGTGCTGAATCAGGTCACTGAGCTAATGTGTGGCAGACATGCTGGCAATATCAACCCAGTCCTTCTGGTCCTCTGGAAACCATATTGTGGAACCTCTGGGTTTTTCCACAATCTTTTATATTAAAGTAACTAAAACTGTATAAATTATTTGTTGTGTCTGTATGTGCACGTGTAATTCTAGAGTGGGATATAATGGTTTCACAATTTTCTGTTTACTTCCTGAATCACCTTTATTTAGGAAAATAAAAAGAAATCAATGATGTGTCCTTAGTATCAGACATATCTTATATTAATTTACCTGTATATATCATATACAATGCAAGATAACTTTTGTGAGGATGATAGGAGAAAACAAATGAAGAAGATGAAGGAATAGGGAAATATGACAGTGACATATAAACAGACAAACAAGTGAAGGTGATGTGCTGCTTCGTTTGACATGACAAGACACACACTCTCTGGGGTTTCAGGAACTTCAACACTGTGGCAGCAACAAAGAAAAACCCTTCAGCGTTCCATCACCGTTTCCCTATGAGGGAAGACTTTTATTAGCAAACACACAGGCTGGCTTTGGAGGATGACCTTCAGGGCACATACACACACAAACAGACACACAAACACACACAGAGAGGCATGTTCATGTGGTAACCAACGTTTGTGTCCCAAGGGTAGAAGAGACAAGAGCAGAAGTGTAGAAAAACAAGAGGTGGTTTGGAGGGGTAGGAAAGAGCCAAGGCCTGGATTATCACACACACACACATTGATATGGAGAGGGGTGTGTCTTCAATATTTTACAGGAAGTAAATTTTGTGTGTGTGTGTGTGTGTTTGTATTTGTACATGGGTGCATGTGAGATACGAGTCCTTAGACGATTTTGTTCTCCAGCAAGGCGATCCTCTTCGACATGCTCTCTAGTAAGATTCTGTCAAGGAGAGAAACTGTGAAGGCAGTCAATAAATCAGACAGTGCGAAAACAACTTTAACACCCTCCCTCCCAAAATAATATCCCCAGACAGTGTCACCTGTCATAAAGGATATGTTTTTTTGTTAGTCCCTGTAGGGCAGCTTCAACTTTCTTTTGGAACTTTACAAGGGAGTCGCATTCACAAGGGTCACCTGTGGAGCCAAGAACACACAGGTTAAAGATTTGTGTGATTTGTGAAGTATAACAACACATTTGTTTAAAACTTCTCACCATTACAGACGTTAATCTGTAGCTTCTTGGCAATCTGGCTCATGGCCTTGAAATCGGCGGTGTAGAAGTAGTGCTCTCCGGTTGGCTCAGAGGCTATCTCTTTCAGCTCGTCCTCAACTGCATTGCCCACTCCGACAGCATACATCTTAAAGCCTGCAATGAACGCGCTCGTTCCTTCATCTGATTCACATAAATATATATTTTTAGTCTGCTTTAGACGTAACCTTCCCACTCCCTCTAACCGTTTTCCTTGGCCTTCTTGGCAGCCTCTCCGATGTAGTCCTGACTGCGCCCATCGGTGAAGACGATGCCCACCTTTGTGACTCCAGGCCGGGCACCCTGACCAAGGCTGAAGCTGTTTTCTACCAGATAACGGAGAGCCTGGCCTGTCATGGTTCCCCTCTCCAGGTAGGCCATCTTTTTCACAGCTTCTTTGAGGTCCTTCTTGTTGTTGTAGCGGCCCAAGGGAAACTCCTGCGGTGGAGCAGAATTAGGATGATGATGAGGGTGGAAGTGAAAATGCTTACTCTAATATAAAAAAAGAAAAAACTGACTCATACCGGTTTGACTGTGCTCGAGTACTGCACCAGTCCGACATGAGCCTTGCTTTCACTGACGTCCAGTTTGTCGATGATCTGGTTTATCCATTTCTTGACCAGCTCAAAGTTCTCAGGACGCACGCTCTTAGAGCCATCGATCAGAAACACAACGTCTGTTGCGGAGTTGCTGCAAGCTGGTGAAAAACAAAACATACACACACGGACACACACGGGGCATGTCAGAGCATATTTATCATACTTGGACACATACCTTCAGAGACAAACACCCACTCACCACTGCAGCTACGGCCATTGTCCATGAGGGTAAAACCTTCTCTGCAGGCACACTTGTATGATCCTGGGGTGCTGATGCATACCTGCTCACAGTCATGATCCCCAGTGGCACACAGGTCAGACACTAGGTCTTCTTACATGCACAACACACACACACACACATAAGAGGGGGCAGGCAGGTAGGGTTAGAGGGAGAAATAAAACTATGTCAGTTTGAAAATGGGAAATTCTAGCATTGATTTTTTTAATGATCCACTGTGACCTGCAGTTGACCTGAACAGGTTTGAATATATGTAGATGATGCAAAAATCCAGTGGAGCCTTAAAGCAAACGGAGGAAAAGATCGGAGCAGCCTTAAGCTAATAAAATCCAGTTTTCTGGAGGATTTTTCAACGTGATGCACAGGCTCCTCCTCAACACTATGATAATGCTGCTCTCATCATCTGCACGTGCAGCGATGCTGGCTGCCGCAAAGCGAGAAGCAAACAGCAGTCGAAGCTGCCGCAGACTGGGAGCGCCGAAGGGCATCACTAATTAGAGGCTTAATGATTGGCACTAATGGATCGGTAATTACAGATAGATCAGTCTCGCCTCTCGGTTATGTGAGAGTTGACTGAAGAACAGGACTAAATCTCATTCCAAAAGGTTGTTTCTACCCTAATGCCCTCGTGCTGTGGGGAATTTTAAATGAGTTTAAAGGACTGAATGAATACATTGTAATCTTGTCGAGGACGAGCAGAGGACAAAAGGGAGAGAAGAATAAATTGGAATGAAAAGGATGACAGTCCAGACACCTTACCCTCAGTACAGGGGAGCAGCAGACAGCTCTCTCCACAGGAATGAAGGTGTGCATATAATGAATCCCTCTTTCTTGCTGCTGTATCTATACCTCCTACAGTACATCTCTAATCCTTCTCTCATCTCTTCCTTCTCCCCCTCTTACCACAAAAGGCCTCCTGGAACTTCTTGGTGAGCTTCTCGATAACGCTGTAGCTCTCCACATAGTCCACATGGTCATCCAGAGGATCGCTGGCCATCTGCCTCAGAGTGTTCATGTCCACACGTCCCACACCGATGGCAAAAATCTCAATGCCGGCGTCTCGTGCACGTTGAGCTATATCCTTTACATTGTCCTGGGGACGCCCATCTGTCACAATAATGGCAACCTGTGACAGTGAGGGTTCAAAATAGATTATAAAGTTACCATTGCGGTTATGGGAGAGGTGAATTTCACGTGCAAACGCATCTAAACGTGTGGCAGACCTTGCCGACGTCAGAAGATTTTGCACGAGCGCCCTCGGCCTCACTGAAGGCAACATTCATTGCAAACTGGATGGCCAGGCCAGTCATGGTTCCGGTGGACAGCGGCTCAATTTTGGTCACAGCCTTGATCAGCCCGGCTTTGGTGCGGTGGGTCTTCAGAGACACCTACAGTTCCACAACAGCGCAGTGAGTGAGATCGAAATGTGAGAAAACAAATCAGAAATCATTTTTTAAACTTTATCCAAACCTCATTCTTAACGCGGCTGGCATAGTTGACAACTCCCACACGAGTGGCGCTGGGTCCAACATTCAGCCCCTCGATGACTTTTGCCAGGAAGACTTTAACTTGCTCAAACTCTGAGGGGCGAACACTGCGACTGCTGTCGATGATGAACACGAGGTCGGTGGGACGGGCTTTGCACAAACCTGCCGCTACACGTGAAGAGAAAAGCAACTCAGATGTCACCGTAATCTCATATTCATTTTATAAAGTTATAAATTATTCCTCATTCCATCATTCCTCATGATGATGGATGGAGATCATGAAAGTCAGGGGAGATGTGGGTGGAGCATGGAGAGAAGGGCTATTGAGAGGAAAAGGGGAGGGCAGAGGTGATGGAGAGTGGTGAGATGTATATGAGAGGAAGGGCTGGAAACAGGACGCACAGAGGCAGCAAGGGTGGAGAGAGGGAAAGGTGAAAGTACTGCGATGGAGAGAGGACACAAAAAGAGCCACTGACCCACTTTAAGTGTTTTCAGAAAGCTTGTTGAGTATCTCTTGCATGAATATATCAATAATTAATCCATAATTAGATTCCACCAAGAAAAGGCGTGAGAAGTGGTTACATTTTCCCAAAAAAAACATGGACTCTGACAGATTTTTTTTAGAAAAGGTGTGATGAAATTAAGCTTTGCTACAGCGATACGGCTGGTGGCCCGTAGCATTTTCAGTGTAAACGCGGGCATTTTGGCATCATTAAGCAAACTGCAGCCAGCGTCTACTGCATATCACTGATCTCCCTCCTCGCCCTTCACCTCTCTCCCTCCCTCCTCCCCCTTCTCCTTCTGTACACCTCCTCTCAATCTTTGACATGCAAGAAACAGCAACGGCCACACTCCATCCTGAACAAAACAATTATCCAAAATGTGCTTATACAAATTAACGACTTGAAAGAACATCATAACCCCTTTTTTCACGTGGCAGAGCACGTCATCTACTAATCAGGAGGTAGAGCAGGTCATCTTCTAATTATGAGGTTGGTCTTTTGATCCTAGGCTGCTCCAGTCTGCATGCCAAATGTCCTTGGGCACAATACCAACCCCAAGTTGCTCTCCCATGTATCCATCAGAGTGTGAATGTGTGTGAATGTTGAATAGGAAGCATGTAAAAAAGTGCTTGTATGAATGGGTGAATGAGGAGAGTTGAGCTGCATAAAGTGCTATAAGAACCAGTCCATTTACCTTTTCTCCCAGTCCCTTACTTATCATTCTTAAATAGCTATGATATATACAGAAAGTTAGTGTCCACATCTAACCATCATACATTTTTCCCCAAAAAATGTATGATGATACAGCATCTCATCCAGCCTATTCACACACAACACACAAAAAGATTCTAACCACTCAAAAAAAAGTTTTATGTCCTTCACCTAAAAGGCAAACTGATGATCAGAGCAATATTTCTCACCTGTTGAGACCAAACTAATGCTCGCTTTTTAAAAGCTGTGTGAGGTTTTTCTGCTCTATGAGTTCACTTTTATGATGATAAAAGGCAAACGGGTGTTAGAAGCAAAGCATCACACAATCAACAGGAGTTAAGACTCAGGCTTTAGGGGTCAAAGATCATTATTCTTACCCATGGCGGCGGCTGTGCGAAGGTCTAAGTTAGCTTGGGCTCCTATTAGGCCAAGCAACAGCAGGAACAACGGCTGGATGGGCGTCATGGTGACAAAGGCGGGGGGTCCGAGCGCGGCCGCAGACGGTCCTAGAGTTGGGAAGCAGAAAAGAAAGCGAAGCGCAGCTCCAAGCGATGGGCACGGCCACAAAGTGAGACCAAGCGACTCTGAGCTGCAGGTTATCAATGCACGAGCTTCACACACTCAGCCCACAGACAACCCCCCTCTAAAGCTGCAGTGTGTGCACAGATGAGTGTGCGTCTGTGGGAAAGAGAAGGAAATACCTGCTCTGGGAGGACCTAAAACGGTGGGCAGGGAAAGACAAACACACCTTGATATGGTTAGGATGGACAGGTAAGTGTGTATGTGAAGGTGGTAAATTTTTGTTGTGTGTGCGCACCGGTCCCCCAGTGGGTTACAGTATGTGCGTGTCTGGCTGGGGGTACAGGAGCGGCTGGGGTTTGGTGCAGGGCTCGCGCCAGTGCTGCTGCCCCAGGTTGGATTTGGCCAAAGCTCAAATAAACACCGACATGAATTCCTCTTTTCTATCCATGTTCCCTCGTATAGCAAACACACATTTATGGTGCGGAAGTGAAGCAGAGCCGCCATACACAGCCTACAGTGTTCCTGCTGCTCTACACGTTGAGCTGCGTGTGTGTGCGCACTTTTCTGTAAATTTTAAATTGTAGGTATACAATCCATTTCCTGGTTTCTGAGTTTCAGTATTCAGTGTCATTCTCAATCTCCTTGCTTCACATTTGTAAACCCTTCTGAAACTTTTTTACCTCAAAATCAGTTTTATAATAAGACAGATCAAACACACACACACACACACACACACACACACACACACACACACACAC